TATATGTGATCTCATTCTTTTTGTAAAGTCTCTCCTTGTAACTCTAATCATTTTTGCAAAGTATGGCCATGCAATGTAATTGCTCTTTTGATAGCATTCTGTTACAAATTGGGATCATTTTGATTTTTTGAAATGAATGAACACATGTTGAAATATTTTGGGTTGCCCTTGTAATACAAATGTTGAATGTATTTGATTATGGTATTTTCTGTGTTTTGTTGCCATGAATTCGGGATTGAACGTCTATTAGGTTTGGCTCATAATGAGCTCAGTTTTCTGGTGTTCTAGCTGCAGTTAGTAGCATTCCAAGGGCTATCAGCCGGCTGACAAGGAGAATCAGCCGACCGATAGGGCATTTTTGGGTATTCCAGAGAGTTGGGTCTCTGAAAGTTGCGTTACGGCCGGCTGACGAGCCTTGTAAGCTGATCGAACCTCCACTTTCAGCCGACCGAACCCTAATTTCCAGTCGGCCTACAGGCCATTTATGAAAGTCCTGAGTGCTTGCATATTTTTGCATCGTTTCAGCCAACCGACCAATTAGGTTAGCCGACCGAACCTTATATATCAGCCGGTTGACATAAGGCTGCCAGTTGGCCGATTCTTTTCTTCCACCCTGCCTTGAGTTCCTTCAGTGATGTTTGTGGTTTGGGAGCGTCGTAGATTTATGGATGAGGTTCATGCATTGTGTTAATATACGAAATGACGACTGTAACCTTAGTCGACCTCGGGTCTGGGTAAGGACCTGACTAATGGTTCAGACCCACGGGTTTAGGTTGTTATACTCACAATACCGAAATCCATCGAAATTCCAAAAATCCACCAAAAACATCTTTGAGAATCTATTAATAGAGAAAGTAAAACATCATACTACGTCTGCAATTTGCGGGTGGTGAGATCGGAGGATTAAGTTTGTTTTTGCAGATCATACTCATTGATGAACCGATGAACAGGCGACGATCTACGTTGACGGCGACAATCAATAACAAGATTTGTGATTGTCGTTGACAATATGGTTTTCGACAATAACATTGGTCTTGGTTCTCTACAACTTTTGTGTTGAGAGGGTGAGAGAGGGATGACGTGAGAAATATATGTGAACAAAGCACTCAATGAGGCTGTTTTGATCAGATACCCACCGTAGATCCACCTTAGGATGGCAAAATACACCATCTTGTCAGGTACTCGACCCACCCTACCTAGTTTAGAACAATTATAGGGTAGTTAACTGGTTTTAGGACGGGGATGGGGAAAGGTTACCCCACCCCATCACGCTTATATTGATAAATTACAATTTTGGCCTTATACTTTATTTTATATTCAATAATATTAGGTATATATTAAGCAAATCCTAGTTTATTCTTTTCCAATCACTAAATATTCTTTTGTATTATTCTTATTTGAGAATTTTTATGTATTATTTTGATGTTTCAATAATAATTTTAGTCTTAAGTTTCAATTAAGAAGTTGAATTTTGTTTTTATCTGCATAAGAGAAAAACATTTATAATCATAGTTGAAAATTTGTTTTATTATTTACTTTCGTTAGATTCATATTACAATTACAAAAATATTGTACAAAACCCACCCCCGCCCCTCCTCACCCCACCACATTTAATAAACAGTTTTGGGTGCGGGAATGGGGATGGGGATGGGGATGGTGTAATGACCCAAATCCTTATGGATCTAGATCATTAAATGGGTCCTTACCCGACCCAGAATCGTCCAAGGGTAATACGGTCCTTTCACGTTAAATTCAATTATCAAGGTCTAAAAGGGGCAAGATGGTAATTTGCTACAATTCAATAATTTTAGACTCAAGGGCATAATAGTCATTTACTTATATCACACAATAAATAAAATAAAGTCCGGGACAATATAGTCTTTTTGGTGGTTAAAATATATTTATTGCACTTTGATTGGGCCATAAGGTAAATACTCACAACATCAATTGGGTGCCAAAGTGTAATTGGGAAAATTAAAAGAAGAATGTTTATGGAATAAGAACCGGTTGACGTATATGCACTATACGTTAGCTGGCTTGGGTTATGAACAGTGGAAAAACCCACTGTCGAGATACCGGTCAACGTGTGGGAAGCTACACGTCGACTGGTTTGGAATGTGCATAGTGAAGAGCTTACTGTCAGGATACCGGTCGACGTGTGGGAAGCTACACGTCGACTGTTTCACGCAACTCGGTCGACGTATGGAGTTTTACGTCGACTGGTTTGGGTCATCTTCACTCACTATCCAAAGAAATTAAGATATATCAACGTAGTTAACCAACCACCCATGCCACTACACTCACGTACGTATCTAAATACATTTTAACATCTAATTACAATAACAACAACCACGTTATAACGTAATTTGCCACACGTTACCAAAATACACTAAAGGATAAAATACACTAAAGGATTAAATGTTGGTACAACTTAATTACATTACCCCACTGGCCATGTACATGATAAATCCAAATATTTTACATGTTGTAAAAGTAATACATCTTAAGTCAACATCTTTACAAAATAAGTTCAAGCTCTACAAAAAAAATACATCCAAAATGTTCCCTAAGTGCTTTCAAGCATGAAGTGGATTATCATCCGCCAACTCCTTGCCATGTCCTGAAAAATGTAAAGTGTAGTGGGGTGAGCAAAAGCTCAGTAGGTGGCACTTAAGACATGCATCTTGTGTCCCCGTGAACCCACAACAAAGAATAGAACAATGGGAATGGGAATCATACCATATCGAGATTTTACACATACTAATCAACCTCAAGTGTAACACATACTAATCAACCTCAATGTAAACAATATAATGCAATGGAATGCAATGCATGCCGACGTCACTCCCCATTTTCACTTTTAAACTGTCACTTTCAAACTGTTAATATAACCCGCCCTTTGGTGACCCCGCAGCGACACGAGAGAAGGATTGACTAGTGTCCCTGACCCTTGGTACCCCCGCGGCGTCATTATGGGCCCAGCTAGCTCAATCACGCTAGGGCAATCTCCCTAGTTCCCTCTAGGCTATATTAACACTCTGGCCCTTTGATACCCCCGCAGCGACCGGGTTTTCATAAAACAAGTTCATCAAAACAATTTCCCAAAATTCCCCCTTTCATTTCAAAATCATTTCTCCCATTACATGCCTAATGCCAATGCATGGATGCTTCAATGCCATGTACATAATCATCATCTCACAACTAGTTCAAATTTAGTTATCAAGGCATACATTCACAAGAATTTTTCAAGAAAAATATAACATGCTTTTATACAATAGAAATCTAGCATAATGGACGTATAAATTCAATGCTTAGGCATGTTCTTCACTTAATTCATGTAATACACATAGTCACAAACTTAACACATTGTCCACAACAACTAAACAATTGGCTAGATACTACCCAAATTAAGCATGTGAAACAATCATTTATGGGAAATTAATTCACAAAAGCACAACAACATCATGGATTAAGGACCCATACCTCAAGTTTATGCAAAACCCTCAAAATGGTTTCCAAATTTCGAAAACCCTATGGAGGCCCAAAGCTGAAATTGTTGGTATGGATTTGAAGGCCTCGTCGTGGGCTTCGATTTGCCGCAAACGGCTTCCAAAAACTCCAAATAATGAGGAAGTAATCAAGTCTTGAAGTTTTGAAATCAAAAGAAAAAGAAAAAGGGAAGAACAAGAGAGTGAGAGAGACTTACAGGTGAGAGAGAGATGAGAGACCAATTGTGGTCTCTAAGTCACTAAGTGTGTGAGTGGTGGGTCCCACCACTTAAGAATTTCTTTTTGATTTATTTTCCTTCTAATTTCTCCACCACAATATATATATATATATATATATATATATATATATATATATATATGCATACAACTATACACATACCACATAAAACACATAAAATAAAACGCATGAAATGCAAATGGACCCAACTAAAATCCCCATGCACAACAATACCGGAAGCGGGTTCCACACAAGACCGTTTGGTCCGAAAACGAAAAAATGTGAAAAATGGAAACCTTGGAATTTCAAAGAGTCCTGGACACAACCGCCCCAAAAATGCCCCTGCATGAACGAAAAATTCCAGGAATTGGAAAATGACGAAAATTTGACACGTTACAGATGGGGATGACATTCCACGCCCCAAATCACCCCATTGCCATCCCTAGATCTACCAGGCCATGCGTTACTTTCTGCTCGCTGACGACAAGCGTTGACAGCTGACGATAAGCGTGTCAACCGATGCTCCACATCGCCACCAAAAACATACTACCTCTGTTCCAAAATTATTGGGTGGTTTGGGGAATCTAACTTTTTATGATAATGGCGTTTTAATATTTTTTTTTTATTGTATTGATAAGGGTCAATTTTCAAATTTATTCTTGTTAATACTCTGTAATTAGTGCACTTGTTTAATCAAGTCAATGTCAAAAGATAATTTGGGAATGTTATAAAAAAGAAGTATATCCATTTTTTGAATGTGACATATATTTTGGAACATCCCAAAATTAGAAGATGGATAAGAATTTAGGAACGTGTTTTATGTTTATTCTTTTTATATTGTTTTCCTTTTTAGTTTTAGTATAAGGGCATTTTAGACATTTCATGAATAAATGTACTTATTTGTGCAATTTCAATAATGCAAGGGGTTAATTGAACATCAAGGAGTAATTGCACATTTTGTAAACCCCTGTTGTATTTTTTTGCACTTTACCCTTATTAAATTCTTTCTTTCTTAAATTTTTTATATTTTTGACGCAATGAGAGGATGAAAAATAAGGCAAACCAACCGCACCTAACATTAATTCTTTCTTATTATTATGTTCAAGTGTTCTTCGAAGTGAACGGGGGACATAGGGTTGGCATTTTAATTTCTCACCATGCCATGGAGACCATTGCAACACGTAATTGATTGAGTCTACTAGTTGGGCTTGGTCCCAAGAAAGCAACCTATTATAGAATTTAATGTTTTTATGACAAACAAATTTGATTTTCCATTTTATGTAACTCAAACTACTCTCTTTCTCAGCAGTCCCTGTAAATGATCAGTTGATCACCTTCTATTCTTCCTCTCTCTACTCTCTTCTCTCTTCTCTCACTAGAATCAACTGTAGCGAGCTAAACATAGTCTCTCTTTATCTCTAAGTCAATCTGACTTCACTATATGCAATGACAGCAATGCCTTGAGGTTGTTGCTTAGCCTTTGAGTTTTTTTTTTTTTTTTTAATTGATTTTTGGAGCATTCTATTCATTTAAATCTGTATGTTTTTGTTGTATAAAGTACTCATTCAATGTTATAGATCAGCTTCTATGAAACCCATGACTACTTTCTTGCTGTATTACATATGAGCATGTGGTTGCTGAGAAAATGTTAGGGTGAAGGACAAAAACTCTTTGGGTTAGTTGAGCTGAGTTTTCTAACTCTTGGTAGCAAAAAGAACAGAGTATCTATCTCTGGCATCATTTAATTATGAATTTGGAAGCACCTTTCTGGTTTAAATGTCAATATTTTCATTCAAAAATCAAACAAGTTGTTCCAATACACCAACCAAACTGTACCTAACGCAATCTTTTTTTTTCTTTTTTGTTATTTTTTCCCTTCTCTTCCTTTGTTTTCTTAGCAACTGAATATGTAAATATTGAACTACTTTGCTATTCTTGCTTGTGACTTATTGCTTCAATTTGTTTTCGATTTTACAGGTTTTCGCGCTTTCTTAAATAAAGCTTCCACAAAGGTGCAAAAGTTTCCATGCCACAAAGTTGTGTATAGAAATTCAGGATGTTCTTTCATTCTCTTGGAATTCTGCTTTCACAATTTATGACTTCAGATTCTTGAACTCTGTACACTTCTTAGCTTCTTTATGTCTTCCTGATAATTTGTTTTGATACTAAGTTTGGGACCCATCTGCCAGAAATACCAGAAAATTCAATAGAACATAGTTAATCTTCCCATTTCTGAACCTTTTCAGAAGCCACAGATTGCTGCATCTAAAGCAACAATGGCTCTGTAAAAGGTATTATTCCTATTTCACTTGTGGTCTTGTAAAATTCTGCCGTTTGAATTTGGATCAACTTGTGTAAGAAAAGGCAGTTTCTACTTTCCAACTGTATTTTGATTTCCGGTTTTCACTAGTAGTTGGAGTAAACTTCGCTTCCATTCCAACGCCTTAGGCACCATTGTAAAAATTCTCAAAAGAGTTGAAAAAATTCTACTTCAGAGCTATTAGAAGCTTGTGATAACATCTCTATAAATCCAAATTCTTGCTTGGTTTTGCTCTGGTTAGTGCAAACAAGAAAATGAAGAAGCCTCCACAGCCAGAAGAATTTGCTCTGAGGGAGACCTCACCAAAAATTGCCGGGGCAGGGATCACCACCGGAGATAAGCTCACTTGTGCCTATGACCTCGTTGAGCAGATGCAATACCTATACGTCCGTGTTGTCAAAGCAAAGGATTTAGTAGGGACGGATGTCACAGGTAGTTGTGATCCCTATGTTGAAGTAAAGATGGGGAACTACAAAGGGGTTACTCGGCACTATGAAAAGAAGTCTAATCCGGAGTGGAATCATGTTTTTGCTTTCTCCCAGGATCGAATCCAAGCTTCTTTCATCGATGTACTGGTGAAAGATAAGGATGTGCTTTTAGATGATCTCATTGGCAAGATTTCGTTTGATCTTATTGAAGTCCCAAAGCGTGTTCCACCGGATAGCCCCTTGGCGCCACAATGGTATAGACTGGAAGATGGGAAAGGGGGTAAAATTAAAGGAGAGATTATGCTTGCCGTTTGGAAGGGAACTCAAGCAGATGAGGCGTTTCCTGATGCGTGGCACTCGGATGCAGCAACAATTAAGGAGGGCATTGCCAAAATCCGAGGGAAGGTATATATGTCCCCTAAGCTTTGGTATGTTAGAGTCAATGTAATTGAATGTCAAGATCTTCTACCTAGTGATAAGAATAGGGTGCCAGAAGCTTTTGTGAAGGTTATCCTTGGAAATCAAGCGTTGAAGACGAAAATATCTCAAGTTAAGAGTGTTAATCCAATGTGGAATGAGGATTTGATATTCGTTGTTTCGGAACCATTTGAGGAGCTGTTGGTGATAACTGTAGAAGATAGAGTGGGATCCAACAAAGATGAGGTATTGGGGAAGTGTGTGCTACCATTGCAGAATATCCATAGGAGGTTTGACAATAAGGCTGTTCCGAGCAGGTGGCATAATCTTGAGAAGCATTTGATTGTGGAGGGGGAAAAAAAGGATACTAAATTCGCCAGTAGGATTCATACAAGGATCTGTTTGGATGGTGGGTATCATGTCCTGGATGAATCGACACATTACAGTAGCGATCTTAGGCCCACTTCAAAGCAATTGTGGAAGTCCAGCATTGGACTTCTGGAATTGGGGATCATTAGTGCTACAGGGTTGTTGCCAATGAAGACAAAAGATGGCCGAGGAACCACTGATGCTTTTTGTGTGGCTAAATATGGACAGAAATGGATTCGAACAAGGACAATCATTGACAACTTTTCTCCAAAATGGAACGAACAGTACAGTTGGGAGGTTTTCGATCCTTGTACTGTGATTACAGTAGGGGCATTCGACAATGGTCATGTACATGGAGGGGGAAAGGATTCAAGAATTGGGAAGGTGAGGATTCGGCTATCTACACTAGAAACTGATCGAGTTTACACTCACTCATATCCTCTTATTGTCTTGCAACCTTCAGGAGTGAAGAAAACCGGTGAAATCCAACTAGCTGTGAGGTTCTCGTGCACGTCTTTCGTCAATATGTTGCACAAATATACACAGCCCTTGTTGCCCAAAATGCACTATGTTCATCCTCTGTCATTAATCCAGCAGGATATCTTGAGGTTCCACGCTACTCAGATACTCTCGGTTAGGCTGACCCGTGCTGAGCCACCATTGAAAAAAGAGATTGTGGAGTACATGCTTGATGTGGGGTCACATATCTGGAGTGTGAGGAGGAGCAAAGCTAATTTTTTCAGAGTAATGAATGTTCTAAGTGGTGTTACCGCGGTTGCAAAATGGTTTGATCGTATCTGCCACTGGAAGAACCCTCTTACAACCATCTTAATTCACATCCTTTTTGTGATTTTGGTGTTGTATCCTGAGCTGATACTGCCCACATTGTTTCTCTACCTTTTCCTTATCGCGATTTGGCAGTACAGACGGAAACCGAGACACCCTCCTCACATGGACATTCGACTCTCCCATGCTGATGCCATTGGTCCTGATGAATTGGACGAGGAATTTGATACTTTTCCGACATCCAAAGGATCTGATACTGTTCGGATGAGATATGATCGTCTGAGAAGCATAGCCGGGAGGATTCAGACTGTTGTCGGGGACTTGGCAATGCAAGGGGAGAGGCTGCAGTCACTGATAAGTTGGAGAGATCCTAGAGCATCTGCTCTGTTTGCGACATTATGTTTAGCTGCTGCTGTTGTTCTGTACGTTACGCCATTTCAAGTTGTTGCCTTTCTTGCTGGCTTTTATGTGTTGAGACATCCTAGGTTCCGCCAGAAGCTTCCTTCACTGCCTCTCAACTTCTTTAGGAGGCTTCCAGCAAGAACAGACTGCATGTTATAGGTATATATGCTTTGTAATCTTATTCTTTTTTTCTCCTTGTAAGCTGATATATGTACTTTATTTGAATTCTGTTTAGTGTAACCAAATAACGTTTTGATTAGTATTCTCAGTTTGAGCATTATTCATGTAATTCTGTCACCTTGTTAATCTTGTGGTGATTAAATATTAATTCGCGCAACTTTGAACACAAAATTCAGAGTTCTAGTTAATACTTTGTAGTTTAATATCTACATGGGAAACAAAATTTTATTTTTTTCCCATTCCCACATATAATTTGAATGCTTAATCACATATGTTTGAGAAATGGTAATGTTTTAATTGTCATTGTCTATGTCACTAATTTAAAGAGATGAGAATATATATATATATATATACTGAATTGCTTGCAATGAAAACAAAAGTTACAAAATGAGTACTTCAACTTCATTTAAAAAACAAAACACGCACACACTTTGTGATTTTATTTTCACTGGTCTACACGCATAACTTTAATGTTAGCAATTGTCTTTCCTCATTACATATTTAAATTTGTCAGGTAGGGGGGCTAATTCAATTAGTTCCATTGCTTTTGATAGCCTAATTGTTGATTCTCAATATATATTTTTTGGGTAAGTAAAATTCTCAATAATTCTGGATGATTTTATTTTCACTGGTCTACACGCATAACTTTAATGTTAGCAATTGTCTTTCCTCATTACATATTTAAATTTGTCAGGTAGGGGGGGCTAATTCAATTAGTTCCAGTGCTTTTGATAGCCTAATTGTTGATTCTCAATATATATTTTTTGGGTAATTAAAGTTCTCAATAATTCTGGATGCTGCCCAGTGATTCTGCAATTTTTTTGCAAATTTTGTGGCAATAATATATGCATAACTATAATATAAATATTTTTAACCAAAAAACAAAAAAAACCATAATATAAATATATTTACATGATTTCTTTTTCTTGACTATTTTGTGACATAACTTTTAGTAATGTACTGTTAGGAACACTGTTCTTTTTATATTGTTAAGTTGTGATCCGAATTCTCTTATTGTCCGGTATTGATCCATATTCTCTTGGGTGGGTTTCGATTCGGTTTATAGTCTCTATTGCAACCCAGTATATATAAGGGTGTCAGGATTTCTATTGTTGTGATTGAATATTAACAAGGTTCAGGTGCAAAAAAATTCCTTACACTATAGATGTAGTGCAAAAAAAAGTCCGTGGTATAAAACATCACCACCACCGCCAACACAGAAAAAAAAAAATTTAAATACCCAAACACTGTCTTCCCTAAATCATCTCAAACGCCGTGTTAAAAACCTTAACCCAATTTCACAAAGTCACTAAATTGAAATAGTCTGAAATTGTCTTCCCCAATTCAACCTCATACCTCTCAGTTCAAGATTGGACTTATTAATGTTAGGGTGGTGGTGATGGAGGTGGCAGAAGTGGGTTTGTGGTTTGATTGGGTTTCACGGTTTAGTATGAAAATTTTGATTGAGTTTCCAAGACAAAGGTCGGGATTAGTTGACGTTGAGTGGCGGTGACGGTGGTGGAAGTGGTGGGGGTGGTGGGCCAGCCTTAAGAGGCCCAACATTTTGGATGCCCTAGTGAATGTACTAAATTTGAGAGGTCAAAAATTGTGAGAGGCCATAAGCCTAGTATTTTTTTAAAAATCAAATTGGAGGCCTAAGTGACTGCTTGGGCCACCTGGGCCAAGGGCAGGCTTGGGTGGTGGCGATTGACCAGGGATGCTGTGATCGGGAAGAACATGCATGAGTGAGGAGGAGCGATTGCCGTGGAAAAGGCATGTCAGCATCATTTCGACGATGCGTGTGAAGAAGATGATGATGTTAGGGCCTTTTTTGGTGGTTTTTGGCCGGAATTAGTGGCTGAGAGTAGTTGGTCATAAAAGAGATGGAGAGCCTGTTATGGGTTTGCTGAGAAAGAAGAAGATGAAGGTGCATAGTTGGGTGCAACCCCACGCGCCGACGGGGCGTGGGGCGCGTAAGGCCCCTTGGTTCAATCTTTCTCGGACCACTTCACACTCCATAATGTTCATTGCCAAACAAAGCTAAAGCACGAGCGATTGACTCGACGTTGTGACCGGGCTTCACCAGTAAGTTAGAAACTTCGGGAGACGACGGCAGATTGTGGCCGGTGAAGGAGCAATTTTCTCTTTGATTCTTTGTTGTAATTGTTGGTGGTGGTGGTTTAGGGCTCTTTTTGCCATTATGGTTTAGTTAACGTTGTTGTTGCTATTTGAGCCACCGACCCTTGTGGTTAAGACGCAAATACCCATATGGAGAGAGAGAGAGAGATGCAATAACGGAGGAAAGCTTCTCAAGAGATTTTTGAAAGTTAATTTTATCTATTAAAATGATTGGAAAGGTTAAAAATGTAATATCATTACTGAAATAGATCAATTAAAATTTCAAATGGTAATGAAGTCTGTGGTGGGAAAAATCTCCCCCACCAATTAAAATCAATCACGTGAGCAGATGGGTTTTGTCATCAATTGTCACTCAACCCACTTATAGTTATCAATTCTCTCAACCCACTTATAGGGCAAGTTAAACCTACATGCCCGGCCCAGCACATAGCCTAGTACAAACAAGGATCTATGATTTGGGTCCATTAATCACACAATTAAAGGAGCCTCATATATAGAAGAAGTCTTATATACGACTAGTCTTGTATAGGAGGAGCAATGTATGGAAGAAACTTTATATAGAAGAATTGCATAAAGAAATCATTAACCGTGGAGGAATCGTGGGGTGTAAGTAATGCGAATCATACCTCAATTCAACCACTAAAAATTGTATAAATAGAGGCATAGTGTGATGTCTTTCATTTTTCCGAATTTTCCAGATATTTATATGCATTTATTATTTTATGGCCGAGTTCGGCATTATTTTCTCTTAATGTAATTATTAGTGTTGTATATCAGTTGACAATTTCTTAAGGGTGGTGTGGTCTTTTGCTGTGGTCACATATAGGTGATTTAGTAATGTGAAGAAGACATTTTAGTCCAATTCCATGGTCACACATTTGACCACTTCTACACTTGACACATGCACCACACTTGGCAGCTCTTTCTCATGCAAAGAGCCACCTTTCACACGGGAATTCTGAAGTTGCAATTCCATTTTATGTACTGCTTTTGTCTTTCTTCACCGTCACCATCACCATCACCATTGAGAAATAGTTTGAGCTCATTTTTGAGAGACTTGTGGCGAGATTTAGAGACTACCAAGAGAGAAACTAATCTAGATTTTGACCTTAAGGATTTCATTCAAGGACAATCTAGTTGTTTTGATGATAACAAACCATTAATGGTGTTTAAGAACTAATGTTTACATTGAGTGTTATATAGATTATTTACATTCAAAGAATGACATTAATGAAGCACTAAAGATCATTCAAAGTATTCCATTATTCAAGATCACATCAAGCAAAGAAATAGATACAATGAAGACATAAAGTTGCAAGGAAAAAATGCAAAGTCCATCCAAAGATAGCTTGGACTACAACGAGCAAGAAAGCAATTCAAAGAAAGGAAGAAAACGAGTCTACTTGAAAGCCTACATGGTCATGGACAAAGCGTGAAGAAAGGGGTAGATAGGATGGTGAGTGTTTGGGATTCAATGTCAAAGTATTTATGAATCCATTTGAAGACTATCTCTATAGGACCATGCATATCATATCATCATTCGTATACTCCTATATCCATTAGCAATTGACTATGCATTTCATTCATATACAATTGACATATGGAGTCTTTGCTAAAGAATGAGTTAGTTCAAACTTGCATAAGCTTTGAAAGAACTCATCACTTGTGCTAGAAATGCTAAGAACGTGCACATCAATCATAAAATTCATATTGGTCAACAATTAAGGCATGAGAAGTGTTTATTACCATAAGTTGGTAACAGATATTATGACCTCAGAATGCGCGTCATGAAAAACTGTATTTTTGGTTAAGTGTGAAAAATGAATTTTTTAAATAATGATTATTACAAAATAATTTTTCCCGGTAATAACTCTTTATACTTAAACTAGCCTAAACTGATTTTATCATAATTTTTGACCAAGTCTACATTGGTCTACATAAGGATTCAATTTTACCAAAACTGTCGGAAATCTAAATTTGTACTAAAACTGAATTTCTACATTTTTATTTTGTTGGATTTCAATTTTCTAGTATTTTTTATTGAATCCAAATGGGGGGTACTTCCTTATTTACATTGTAAACTTAAAGTAAATGGACATATAAATTAAAGTAAAGAAATGTCGACTGGTTTGATACACACGTCGACCGGTATCTAGGCAGTGGCAAAAATCCAAGTTGAAGCTCACACACGTCGACTGGTTTGACACACATGTCGACCGGTATCTAGGCAGTAGCAAATGTCCAAATGAAGCTCAGTATATGTCGATTGGTTTGCAAGAGATGTCGACTGGTTTGCAAAATACATCAACTGGTTTATAAGTAGATGTCAACCGGTTTGGAGTACACATCAACCGGTTCAAGCCAAGATGTCAACCGGTTTATCCACATGTCAACCGGTTTGGTCGCAGATCTGTAGATTTCAAACTGCAACGGCTCCTTTCTTCTCGACCCTCGTGCATTCAACTCCCAACAGCTCCTTTCTTCTCGACCCTCGTGCATTCAACTCACAACAGCTATATTGAGCTTGGAAACTCTATTAATAGAGTGGGGAATGTCTTAATAACCAAGAGACATCATTTGAAAGCCTTCACATTGCATTAAAGAGAGCTTTTGTTCTCAAATCTTCTCTTCATCTCTCTCATTCACTCACATTCAAATCTTACGAGATTTAATTAAGCACTCAAAGGGCTTTTGCTCTTGCTTTAATCTTCATAGAGTTTTTGCTCTATTATACACTTGAGAGATTATAAAAGCTTACATTCTTCACTTATATCATCTCCTCTCATTCATTTCATTCATAGAGTTTAAGCTTCATTTATATTCATCAATACTCTAGTTGTGAGCTAAAAATTGTACTACTATCTTTGAGAGATCTATTATACTTCATTGTTCTTGCTACTATCTATTGTAAGGTTTGGATTGACCCATCGGGTTGGCGTGACCCAAAGGAAAACTAAGAGAAGGTTATTCTCTTAGTAAGGAAAAGAAGCAAGGTCTTGCTTCAAGTAAATGTTTGCTCTCCACCCATAAGG